CAACAAAGAAAGTTTCCTTCCATGTATAAAGCTTTCCTTGACTTTTAACAATAGTGGACTAATACAGTATTTGTCCTGTGACGACTTAATCCACTCAGCGTAATGTCCTTCAAGTTCATCCATGTTATGTGGTGTTTTGCAGATTCTACATTATTCTTTAGGATTGCATAGTATTCCATCGTGTGACTGTACCACAGTTTGTCTATCCATTCCTTGGTGGATGGGGAGATCCATAGACATCCTTATTCCATGAGTTGCTGGGATGATTTAGATGTACTATAGTTAAGATGTGACTTTCTGCTTCTGTAAAGATTTATAGCCTTGAAAACCCCGTGGGGCAGTTCTACTCTGTCCTATATAGGGTTACTATGAGTCAGACATGACAGCCACAAGTTTTTTGGTTTGGATGGTTTATTTGGAGTTCCTGGGTGGTGCAAATGGTAAATGTGCTCAGCTACTAACTGGAGATTCGAGTCCACCCAAAGGTGCCTTGGAAGAAAGGCCTGGAAAATCTATTCCTGAAAAACCAGCCACTGAAAACCCTCTTGAGCACAGTTGTATCCCGACTCACATGGGGTTAACAGGAGTCAGAATCCACTTGATGGCAACTGGTTATAGTTTATTTAATTGTTTTTGTATTGGTCATTTAAATTATTGCTGATTCTGTACTATTGCCAGGGAGCTCTGGTGGCATAGTGCCTAAGGCATTTGACTGCTAACCAGAAGGCTGGCGGTTCAAACCCACCAGCCACTCCATGGAAGGAAGGTTGGGCAATTTACTTCCCTAGTGATACCACCTCGGAATCCCAAGGAGGGTTCGCTATGAGTCGGATCTGACTCCACGGCAGTGAGTTTTTTTGAGTTTAAAATTGGCCATAGTACTAAATGAACATCCTAGTACATGTGGTATTCCTGTGCATGTGTTTGCTGAGTCTATGAAAGGAAGGTTGGGCAGTCTACTTCTGTAGTGATAATGCCTCAGAAACCCAAGGAGGGGTTGCTATGAGTCGGGTCTGACTCAAGGCACATAACAACAACAACAATAACATGAATATTTCAGGCATCCAGAAGTAGAAATGCCATGTTAATTTTGATAGATTTAAACTGCCATTTAAAATAAACAGCTGTACCCATTCATATTCTCATCTACAGTACATGAGAATAAGTTTCCCTTCACCTTTGCCAAAAGAAGGTACTATAAATCTTTAAAATTTTGCATTTTGATAGTTAAAAATTAATACGTCAATTTTAATGTGTATTTCCCTAACTATAGAAATTTTAAATTTATTAATAAGGTATATGCAATTTATCAATATTATACATAATATAATCTATATACATATAACGTTATCGTTGGGTGCTATCAAGTTGCTTTCAACTCAGAATGACTCCATATGAAAGTAGAAGTGCTAAACAGGGTTTTCTTGGCTGTAATTTTTATGGAAATAGATGGCCAGGTCTTTTTCCCACAGAGCTGCTGGGTTCGAACCTCCAACCTTTCAGTTGGCAGCTGAGTCTTTAACCACCAAGGTTCCTGATATACATATAATACATAGTATATAAACATATAACTAGGTACAACATATGTATTTCCCTGATGAAATATTTGCATTTAACCTGAAAAGGTTAAATATCTGAATATTTAACCTGAAAAGTAGCTATTTGTTGGCAAAGAGGCCCATGGAAGAACTATCCACTTGCCATCTCAACCCATCAGGCCACTAGCTCTGAAGAGAACCTTTAATTACAATGTCATTGTTAATAACAGAAAACTAGACAGAAGAACAGGATATATCTAAGTATGAAATCAGACATGACCAATTGATTCCTAAGGCTAATGAGGCTGATGACTGAGAAGTTATTTAATCAGAATATATGGTACTAGAAACATAGTTCACATCACCAAACACAGTGATAGCTTACTGGGTTCCTCAGGTGGCAAACCTTACAGTAAAAAGTGCTTAAGTATCTCTTGGTGTTTTGAATCTAACACCTGTGAATTATAGAGGAACCATCTATTCAGCTTAATTCGAGGCTCATAACTCTAGTCTTCTAGAACTGTGCATGCCATTAGAAATACTGCGGACAGTCTGCATCTGTGCTGTTCAATAAGGTAGCCGTGGGGCACATGTAGCTCTTCAGAATTTAATTAAAATCAAATAAAATTTAAAAACTCAATTCCTCTGTTGCACAAGGCACATTACAAGGGCTCAATAGCCACATGTGGTAAGTGGCTACTGGACAATGCAGAGACTATTTCCACCATAGCACAAAGTTCTACTCCACATCGCTGCTCTAGAAGCAAGAATCAAGCAAAAGGAAATGCATTTTAGCTGATGGCTGACTCACTTCACTGAATCTGCTCTGCATCCCCAAAGGGACAAATTCAGAGAACAAGCTGAAGAAGGCAGTCATCTGACTTCTCCCCCTAAGCAGGATTTGATTCTCAGATTTACCTAAGCTAAAAAAGGTTTGTGTTAATTCCTCTGGTTTAGCTAATTAAGAAACCATGTGAAATGTCTTTATCTTTTGCTTTTGCATTCTATGGTACTGTATATATACTAGTCTTCAAGTTTTTGCTACAAAAGCTTTAAAAGAAAGGATTTTCTAAAGAATACTATCTAATACTGCTGCTTCTTTTAAGAAATACTATGCCTTTGTCCTTTAAGCAGGGGAACACTTTATTTCCTTTGTGATTATGAAAGCCAAGGACTCATTATAAATAATTAAAATACATATATTTATTTAAAAAATTAAGGCAATTGTAATCTCACCATCCAGAGATAATATGTTATTATTTTGACAAATTTCCTTCTAGATTTTGTTGTATTCATCTCTACACATAAATAAATATATATTTTTACAATAATGAGGGCCATAGTATTCTATTTTATTATTTGCATTTCACCGAACCAACATATCTGTCCATATTAACATATATTTTTCATTTTCATTGGTTTCATAGTACCACCCTGTGGATGCACCATTATGTATTTAACCAGTCTTTCTTAAACTAATAATTATTTTAGATGTTTTTAATTTATGAAGGAGTCCTGGCAGTGCAGTGGTTAAGCATTTGGCTGCAGGGAAAAGATGTGGCAGTCTGCTTCCATACAGATTTAGAGCCTTGGAAACTCAATGGGGCAGTTAGTTCTACCCTGTCCTGCAGGGTCACTGTAAGCTGGAAATTGACTCAGTGGCAGTGGGTTTTCTTTTTTGGTTTTAATATGACTATTATAAACGTTATTGCTTACATTTTAAAGTGTCTTGCATTGTTGGGTCAAAGGATACACTATTATTAACATAATAAAGTCAAATAGAAGTTTTCCCTATATCAGGAATACAACTAAATTTTAGAAGGTTGATGCTTTTGCAAGTCTCATTAACTGTACAAATCATTAAGAAAGGAATAGAAAGTCCAGAACCAGTCATTTAAAAGGCAAAACTATCACTATTTGGCATTTCTTATTTAAATAATTAAACTTTTTAAAAGGAAAAGAGATAATCTCCTAATGCCTCTTTCACGCAAATTTCAAGTTTGTTCAAAGAGAAAAAGAAAGTTTAGTAAAACAGTTAAGAGCAGATTCTACAACCAGACTTCTTGGGCTTAAATGCCAGTACCACCATGACCAGTTGTATGACTGTGTGTAAATTAATTGAGGTTTGCCTTGGTTTCCTCATCTGTCAAATGGGGAAACAATATGTCTACCTCACAGGAGCTTTGTGAAGGTTGGGCAATCTACTTCCTTAGTGATACTGCCTTGGAAACCCAAGGAGGGATTGCTATAAGTTGAGTCTAACTCAATGGCATGTAACAACAACAACAACAACAACATATTTTGAAGTTATAGTATCCTAGTATTTTGTATGATTGTGTAATATCGCCCTTTATATAAGGGATATAGGACATGCCTTTACTTCTTAATTGAAAACATTCATTCTTTTTGTCTTTTCTTTGAGAACCTAGGATAGCAATTTTAATATAGAACCCATTGGCAGCTAAATTATGACTTGCCCTACTGCCCCCTCCAAAATAGCAAGCTTCCTGTTTTGAGTGGATCAAATATTGTTACATTGAAAATGTTTATAATACCACCACTACACCAACTGTCCATTTATTCCAGGTAATAGTTAACAACATTCTGTTACAACAAAATCATTGAAGATTTTCACAATTCCTTTTAACATGGTAAAGCATTCCAAAATCTTCATAGTGAAGTATAATAAATAAAGTTTTATAAATATTGATAAATGTTACAGAAATGGGTTTCTGGAAATGCTCAACATCTGCCAGAAAGAAATCACAATTTAGACATTTAAATGTGGGTTTTAAAACAAATCAAAATTCCTATAGCAAGAGCCAGATCTGTTTGCTCTGGCTTTATTAAATGCTGGGTATTATCAAATTCATTTTCCTTTGTGTACAAAGGAGATTTAAAAATCATTGACTTTGATTATAACTTTTACATAACATAGTTCTGGGTGGCAATATGGTTAAGTGCGTGACTACTAACTGAAAGGTTGGCGGTTCAAACCCAACCAGAGGTAGCAGGGAAGACAGGGCTAGTGCTCTGCTTCTGAAAGGTCACAGCCTTGGAAAACTTATGAAGCCATCCTACTCTGCACACATGGGTCTTCATGAGTCAGAATGGACTTGATGGCAACTAACAATATATTGTTGTTTGGCTAAACAAGCCGGTTCCAGCTCACAGCGACCTCATGCACAACAGAATGAAACACTGCCTGGTCCTGCACCATCCTCACAATTTTGTTATGTTTGAGCCCATTGTTATAGCCACTGTGTCAATTCACCTTGTTGAGGGTCTTCCTCTTTTTCACTGACCCTCTACTTTACAAAACATGATGTCCTTCTCCAGGGACTGGTCTCTCTTGCTAACATGGCCAAAGTACGTAAATACTTTGGTGCCTTGCCACCCTCCCTTCTGAGGAGCATTCTGGCTGTACTTCTTAAAACAGCATAACCTTCATTTCATAGGATTATAAGAAAACTCTCCAGTTTAGAAAATAAAACAAAAGAACAAATTTCCTATCAGCCAAGTAAAAAGACTTTTTTCTTTTTTTTTAATGGAAAATCCTAACCATTCTATTCTTAGTAGAAAATACATACATCCCTCCCCTGGGTATCATTTTTTTTTTTTGAAATTGCTTTATTAGTTCTAAATAGGAGTGATTTTAAATTCCTGACTCATCTTAAATATACTCATGGTAACAGATTTTTGGTGTAGCACTGGGCAACCTTTTGTTCTGTTATACATAAGGTTGCCACGAGTCAAAGCAACAACTACAACAGATTATTGCTGCTATCTAGGGAAAAAGTACAGCAACCAGCACACTGAAAGAATGATGCTTTGTTTGTATTTTGACCATAGGTTTACTTTACGAAACAGTGCTCTTTTTAGAATGGAAGAATTTACCTGTCTCCTAATTGATGGGGTCCAGACCTGTGATTGTTGATTGTTGACTAAACAGACATGGGAGACTGGAATTTCCTTGGAGGCATTCTGGAGGAAGTTCACATCCACTCCACCATGATTGGAAAGATCTGGCTCACCATCCTATTCATATTTCGAATGCTTGTCCTGGGTATAGCAGCTGAAGATGTCTGGAATGATGAGCAGTCTGACTTCATCTGCAATACAGAACAACCCGGCTGCAAGAACGTATGCTACGACCAGGCCTTTCCTATCTCCCTCATTAGATACTGGGTTTTACAGGTGATATTTGTGTCTTCACCATCCCTGGTCTACATGGGCCATGCTTTGTATCGACTGAGAGTTCTGGAGAAAGAGAGGCAGAAGATGAAAACTCATTTGAGAAGAGAACTGGAGGGGGTCGAATTTGAAGTACCTGGGGATCGGAGGAGATTGGAACAGGAGCTTTGTCAGCTGGAGCAAAGGAAACTAAATAAAGCTCCACTTAGAGGAACCTTACTTTGCACTTATGTGATACACATTTTCACTCGCTCTGTGGTTGAAGTTGGGTTCATGATTGGACAGTATCTTTTATATGGATTTCACTTAGAGCCTCTATTTAAATGTCACAGCCACCCATGTCCAAACATAATTGATTGTTTTATCTCAAGACCAACAGAAAAGACAATATTCTTACTGTTTATGCAGTGCATAGCCACTGTTTCACTTTTCTTAAATGTTCTAGAAATTGCTCACCTAGGTTTTAAAAAGATTAAAAGAGGGCTTTGGGGACAATATAATTTGAAGGATGAACACAATGAATTCTTTGCAAACAAATCAAAACAAAACCCTGCCAAATATAAGAGCACATCTGGAAATTCACTGAGTCAACTCCCTACTGCACCTGATTATAATCTGGTAGTGGAAAAGAAAACACACACGACAGTGTATCCTAATTTAAATTCATCTTCTGCAATGCAGGCAGATCCTGACAATTACTGTGGAAATGATGAGAAATGCATTTTGGATGAACAGGAAACTGTACTTTCTAATGAGATACACACAATTAGTACTCTCTGTAGTCATCTTCAACACATTAGCTCAAATAATAGTGAAGGAATTCATAAAATATTTAGAAAAGAAGTTAGTGACAACCAGGTAAGGGAGAGAAGAGAAACTGATGACAAAGATAGAGGAAGGAACCACTATTCTAGTGGTGTTTCTGTAGATCTGGAAAACCACACAGGGCAGTCACCTCAAACAGTTTTCTCTCTGTCAGCTAACTGCAACTGGAAAGCAAAGAGGCTTAGTGCTACCTGGGGTCTCTCTACAGAGGATCAAAACCAGAGACTCTCTCCTAATGGTAGCTTCAAGGGCCAGTTTGGAGAGGGTACAATTGGAACACTTCCTCCTTTACAAGGAGGCTCCCAGCCACTTGATATTGCAGATACTTCTCATTCTTTGGGAGAGTTGTCCTTTGAGTCTGACTTTGTCAAAACTTGCAAAAGTCCTAGTGCTTGTCCCCCAAATCATTTAATGTCTCTGACAAACAATCTCATCAGCAGGCAGGCTCCCACAGACCTTCAGATCTGAACAGCTGTTGGCTTTTAGACATTCTGCATATTATATTATTATAGAAATGGCCTAATGCAGATGGTGTTATTTGTTATTAGGTGCCATTGAGTTGGTTCCACTCATACGGACCTGTGTCTAACAGAATGAAACATCGCCTGGTCCTGCAGCATCCTCACAATCGTTGCTGTGCTTGAGCTCTTTGTTGTAGCCACTGTGTTAATCCGTCTTGTTGAGGGTCTTCTCCTTTTTCAATGCCCCTGTACTTTACCAAGCATGATATCCTTCTCCAGGGATTGGTCCCTTCTGACAACATGGCCAAAGAAAGGGACATGAAGTTTGGCCATTCTCGCTTCTAGGAGCATTCCGGGTGTACTTCCTCCAAGACAGATTTGTTCATTCTTCTAGCAGTCAATGGTACATTCAATATTCTTTGATAACACCACAATTCATATGTATCAGTTCTTCTGTGGTCTTCCTTATTCATTGTCTAGCTCTCACATGCATATGGGGCAATTCAAAATACCATGGCTTGGGTAAGGCACACCTTAAGTCTTCAAATAACATCTTTGCTTTTTAACACTTTAAAGAGGTCTTTTGCAGCAGATTTACCCAATGTCATATGTTGTTTGATTTCTTGACTGCTGCTTTCAAGACTATTGATTATGGATCCAGGTAAAATGAAATCCTTGACAACTTCAATCTTGTGGAAATAGTGCAGGGACAAAGTAGGGACAGGAATAGCTCTGAAGATCAGCTGTTGAGACAGATAATTGTAACCCATTTCAAAAAGGGGCAGGAAGACCCAAAACCATTGCACAGAGTAGACTGCAACTCATAATGCCCCAGAGAGTAGGACTGTTCAATAATAATCTTTCAAAAGCAGATCATTGGGCCTTTTCATCCATGGTACTGCTGGGTGATTTTGAACCATCAACTGGTTATCAGTTGAGCATAAATTGTTTGCACCACCAAGGGACCTTCAAAAAGGGAAAAACAACTCTAATTGTGAGGTGTGAAGGGGTAGTTTTAAATTCAAAAACATAGAGTTACCAAATCAGGATCACTTATTCACAGTTCTCTTAAAAATATGTGACATGTTCAGAATGGAGGTTAAGTGGTTTGGAACCAGGTTTTCTCTTTGAAAGGACCACAGCCTTAGGAGATTGTTCTTGATTAATATAATTGCTTCTTTTAGCTACTAATCTTTTATTTCTTGACACCAGGTAAATTTTGTTTGCTTCAGACTTAATAACTTAATTTCCTTATAGACTGCATGTTTCTTGAGGACAACAATAATGCTGCTATCTAGTAAATAAAACCTTAAACAAAAATATTGGTGGCTTTTTTTTTTTTTTCTTACTAGTTTATAGCATTGAGATTAAAAGGGGGTTCTGGAGTAAGATTGCCTAGACTGGAGTCTTGGCTGTACTATTTGCAAATCACCAAATCCAGCCATTTTACTAATGTTGTTGTTGTTGGTATGTGCCATCAAGTCATCTCCGACTCAGCAACCTTATGTACAACAGAACTAAAAGTGCCTGGAAGTTTGCTAGCCTCACCAACCCTACTATACCTGAGCCCGCAGCTGCAGCCACTGTGTCAATCCATCTTGTTGAGGGCCTTCCCCTTTTTCGCTGACCCTCCACTTTTCCAAGAATGACATCCTCCTCCAGAGAATGGTCCCTTCCAACAACATGACCAAAGTAGGTGAGATGAAGTCTGGCCATTCTTGCTTCCAAGGAGCATTCCTGCTGCACTTCTTCCACGGCAGATTTGTTAGTTAGTTTAGCAGACCATGGTACTTTCAGCATTCTTCACCAGCACAACTCAAAAGCATCAACTCTTCTTTGGTCTTCCTTATTCACTGTCCAGCTCTCACATGCATATGAGGGGAATGAAAATACCACAGCTTGGGTTAGGTGTGTCTTAGTCTTCAAGGAGATATCTTTGCTCTTCAGCACTTGAAAGAGGTCTTTTGCAACAGATTTGCCCAATGCAATATGTCTTTTGATGTCTTGACTGCTGCTCCCACTGGCATTGATTGTAGAACCAAGTGATATGAAGTCTTTGACAACTTCAATCTTTTCTCCATTTATTGTGATGTTCTTAGTAGTCCACTTGTGAGGATTTTTTATATTGAGGTGTAATCCATACTGCAGACTGTGATCTTTAATTTTCATTAGTAAGTGCTCCAAGTCATCTCACTTTCAGCAAGCAAAGTTACGTCCTCTGCTGATCTCAGGTTGTTAATGACCCTTCCTCTTATTGGGATGTTGTGAAGACTGAAATAAGCGTGTTTAGTACAGTGCCTGGCACACACTAAGCACTCAAAAGTGCCAGCTATTATTAGCATATTACTGCTCACTCTCTAGAGGCCCATATCAAGTTAGCCACAAAACGAGGAGAATCTAAACCTAAAAGTGGCGTCTGAGAATACGATCGGAAACAGTCCTGAAGCCATCTGAAATCCAAGAGTTGCTCTGCATGTCTTGCCCACAGGTTACCACGATTGCCAAAGTGCCAGTAGAAAGTTCCGCCCACTCCGCGTGCCAGGCGGCCTCTCACCCGCAGCAGCAGCAAACCTCAAGGGCTCCGCTGGCACCGCCCCCGGACGCCACGCCCATCCTTAGCGTGTACACCGATCTGTAATCAACAGAACCTCGTCTCTTGCTAAGCAACCGAATCGCAGTGCAGACCGGAAGAGGAAGAGGTGCTGCTTTGATAGCCAGAGGGGCAGGCATACGCAGCCTCCCTCCGCTCATCTTGCTATGGAGAATTCAGAGCGTCCTGGTCACCATGAAAACCAACCAAACGATCCCCTACTGTTTTGCTAGTGCGCAGGCGCACGTGCCTTTCCGCGCATGCGCAGTGCTGATCAGCGCCCTCAAGCCACGGTCCCGGGCGCCAGCTACACCGCTGCCGCTGCCACTATGGCTCATTACAAAGTGAGGGGGGCGCGGCGCGGCTAGGGGCGTGAGGGCGGTTAGCCAGCCGCTGGTCGGCCACGGGTGGGAGTGGGGACACGCGCGCAGGTTGTAGGGGCCTCAGGTAGCGAGGCGGAGGCGGGGTTGCCGGACTCCCAGCGACTTCTTCCTGCTCTGGCTCCTTTGGGCTTCGGCCTCTGACCCGCAGTGTCTCCTCAGGCCGCCGACTCGAAGCGCGAACAGTTCCGGAGGTACTTGGAGAAGTCGGGGGTGCTGGACACGCTGACGAAGGGTGAGCATATACTAAGACAGGGTTCCTCGTGCTCTCAGCGTGCTCGTCGGCGCTGCGCACCTGACGGGCCGTGGCGTAGAGGAGGGAGAACTGGTGGGACCTGTCTAGCGTCTCGCAAGGTGGGCCCCGGTGTTCCGCGGGAATCGGCACACGCCGGCAGCAGGACGCCGCCCGGGTGGTGATAGCCTCGCTCAGGTTACCTCTCTCCTGGCCATGGAGTGAAACTCTTGCAGCTGTTGCAAAGTCTCTACAACTTCCTGCTTTGCTGCGAGCAGCCACAGTGGGTGTGATTATAAAAGACCTCGAGGTCCATTTAGTTTCTTCGAAGAGCATCAGAATTTTGTTGAGAAGTGTCCCCTCGAACAAAGGTGGCAAATGGAAATACTGACAGATTTAAAGTGGGCCATGAAGTAGCTGAGCCTAATCCCCATGGTAAGCGATTTTTAGCCAATCTGGCTGTGGCTTTTCAATGCCCTTTCTTAGTCTCTTAATTCTTTGTGCAGATTTCAAAATTAAAGTAGAACTACAGTTTAGAGTTTGAGAGCAAATCAGAATGGTTTTACTGTTTTCACTTTTTAAGAGAAGCTTACTTTTAACACTGTCTTCTCCTGGGAATACAGGAGTTAAGTAGATGAGTAAGGTGCTTGAAACAGGAGAGTTCCAAGAGATAGGATACTGTTTGCTTCATTAAACTGGTTGCTGTACAGTTGATTTCTGACTCTCTAGTGTCAGATGTGTCAGAGAAGAACTGTGCTCCATAGGGTTATTGATGACTGATTGTTAAGTAGATCACCAGACCCATCTTCTGAGAAGCTCTGAGTGGTCTGGGACTACTTGATTTCACTTACTTCATAAGCTCAGCAGTAATTTGAATGCATGCTGTATGTCACTCAACTCACTGGTTTGGATTTTCAAAGGTGAAGAAGGGAAGAGCTGGCAGGGTTGAGGACCTGGGTCAATGTGCAAAGAATAGGAAGTGTCTGAGAAATAATTTGGTAACTGCCTTTGGTCAAAAGCAAAGGTTTGAGGAGAATTCTGGGAGAGGATAATTCTGAGTCTTAGTGGAAAGCAGGGTTTTTCACTGCCATGCATGAGCTAGAAATTTTAAATTGCTACCTATCTTGGGTCCACATGCTAGTTTCCCCATCTCTTTAAAATAAATTTTAGCTAAAAAACAAAAAAAAGACCCTATATTCCCAATTAAAAAAAAATCATAAATTTCATCTGACATTAAGGGGCTACTCTGTGAAAGTGCTGTGCTGTGTTGTCTCAGGGAGTGTCACAGATACTTATAATGTTGTTGACATCCTCCTCTTGAAAATCTCCACAAGTTCATTTCTTTCTTTTATTTAACCATTTTATTGAAGTCTCTGTTTAAGGCACTGGAGATGCTGTTTGGTGCCCTCAAGTCTGATTTGATTGATAGCTACCTAGAGATAGAGCAGTAGAAAAAAAAAAGAGTCCTTGATTGCATGAGCTTATATTCTAATTGAGAGAAACATGTAATAAATAAATACATTGTGTCACCTAGTGGTGTTATGAATAAAAACACAGCAAGTTAAAGGCATGAACAGTAATGGGTGGAATGTATGTGCCATTTTATAGAGAGTGGTGGGAGAAGTGTGAGCAGAGGCCAGAATGAAATAGTATATACTCTGCTCATACGTCTTGAGAGGTCCAGGCAGTCTAAGGAGGCCACAGTGGCTAGACAGAGTGAACAAAGGATAGAATGGTAATGGACAGAGACTGAAAACTACTGGAGGCTTCCTTTCCCTTGTTCATATCCACTGGAATCTAAGCCC